AGTAATAATAGCTATTCTATAAGTAATAGGTTTTAAGATAGTATTAATAAGACTTTAAATACTAAGGCCTAAGTAGGGGAATAAATCCTTTATAAGTTCCTTATAGCTTAAGATATAGTTAAATATATTAAAGTTAAATAGTATTAGTTTTTAATATAATAATATAGAAAAACTAAAATCTTATCTAGATTTAATACTTATAAGAATACTATCTACCTTAAGTTAACTAAAGTATTATAAGCTTTAAAAAATAGTAAAAGTAAATTAAGCTAGCTTAGAATTTATAAAGAAACTTATATATTATTTAAAACTAACCTTCTTATATTTATACTTATTATTATATTTCTTAATTAGGTATTAGTACTTTCTATTTTATTAAAATAAAGAGGGTAGGTTTACTAGATAGAGTTTAAGGTATAGTTTTTAATATTACTTATTAAAGTAACCTAGAAGCTTATAAAAGGAATAAAAGTACCTAGTAGTATTAGGTTTTATTATACTATAAGGAGAATACCCTTTAATAGCTATTATAGTAATTAAAGTAGCTTATTACTTAGACTTTTTATTATTCTATTATTTAAGCTTAATAAAGTTAGCTATAACTATAACTACTTATATAAATATAATTATAAAAACTATAATAGTATTATTAATTTACTTTAAAATAAAATAAAAGGCTATTTTAATAGTATAAAAGTTAAACTCTTTATTAAGACTATTAATAAAAAGATATACTATTAAAGCCTTAAGGACTTTAAAGTCTTTATTAAGAGATTATTATTTAGCTTAAGTATTAATAAATATTATAGTAAGTTTCTTAATAAATCTATATTAAATAAAGGTTAGTATTAAAAGATAGTTAGCTATAATTTAAAAAATAGTAATACTTTTTAGTTTAAAGTACTTTTTAAAGATTATAATTATATTTAATACTATAACCTTATCCTTAATAAGGCTATAGGTATATTCTTTAAGGCTTATATTAATAAAAGTAATAGTATAGACTTAGTTTTATATCTATTCTTAAATAAGATCCTTTATAATCTTATTATTATAAGCTTTAGTTAAGATAAAGCTATTTCTTTAGCCTTTTAATAGTAATCTATTAAGATTATTAAGTCTTAATATATTAATTATTTTTAGTTTTTATTTAACCTAGTTACTTTTAGATTTAAACTTTAAGATATTTAATACCTCCTTTAGTATTAAGGATATAATACTAAATAATAAAATAGGTAATAAGGCTATAAGAAGATCTTAACTTATATATAAGAGTTAAGTTATTAATAGTATTACCTACTAAGGGAGTAGAACTTTAAAATAATAAAGAGGATAATAGGCTAAGTATATAGTCTTTCTTTTTAAACTAAATACTTTATATTTATTTAAAGGTAAAAAATATTTAAATAAATAATAAAGAATTCTTCTTATTAAATAAGTAATTATTATATACCTTTTATAGTAATTAAGATTATAGATTATAGTAAGTAATCTAGTAAATATATTTAAAACTATAGATTATAGTAAATAATCTAATAAGTATATCTATTTAAAGATTATAACTATATTAAGTAAATTTATATTATAATATATATAAAATAAGTATATAAAGTCTATATATAAATTACTAGGTAAGGTATAGTAGTAGAATTTCTTTTTCTTTATATAGAATTTTTATAGTAAATAGACTTATTAAATATACTTTAAATTAACTAAAGTTTAAGGTCTTTCCTCTTTTTATATATAAAGAGTTATAAATTTCTTAAGTTTTATAGTAAATATTAGCTTATATAGATAGTAAGTAAATTTAGTAAGAAATTAATACTTTCCTTTATTTTATTAATAGCTTTTATAATATAAGTACTATTAGGCTTATAACCTATTAAGACTAATAGGGTATATATAGGGTAAGAGGTAAAGTTATTATATTATATAACTTCTATCTAGTTATATAGTATAGGTAAGTACTAGATATACTAGGTAATAGGAGATTATTCTTTT